CCCCAAAACCCCAAAACCCCAAAACCCCAAAACCCCAAAACCCCAGTTTATATTTTCTTAACTGAAACAAAATAAAACACCCAATGTCTCTTCTTCCACTAAAAAGGAATGATCAAAGTCATTCGATTTCCCCTTCTTTTGAAAGTTCGGATAAATTATCAAGAGAATTGATGGACTCAAACCAGGATAGACAAATGGCTAGCTTCGAGGTAGACCTCATTGCCATTCAGGGACAAGTGTAAGGCGTCTGGTCATATCTAGAGAAGAGAAAAATAATTTTAAAGCCTACATGCTAAGATTCATATCGATAGTATTCTTCTCAGCTAGCATTGTACTATCAAAGTTAGCCTATGTCGGAAACCCAGCAATTGGAGGATTTGATTATGGATTCTTTAGAGGAGGATTCCTAATGCTTGGTAAGATACTGCCTAATTTGTAGCCGGGATTATTGAAGCGATGTACTTTGGTGTAAATGTAACAAAAATCCCAAGAAAAATTACTACAACAGTGATATTTAGGATTCTTACTGGAGCTGTAGGCATGCCATGTTTCTTCATTGCAATCAAGTACATTCCTACAAGTCAAGGAGCCATTATCACAAGTTTGAACCCTCTAATTGGCACAATATTGGCATTCTTCTTTCTTTCTGAGAATTTCCCAAAGAGGAATATTATATTCTTAATGTCAGCTTGTTTGGGGGTTATCTTGATTAACCTTACCAAACCAAGTAGCAGCACAGTATCAGATAATTCAAGTATGTATGCAATAGGGTTTTTGTTATGCCTCATTTGTCTGACTTTCCTTTCCACTGGTGTTGTATGTAGCAAGCGCATTAACCAACATGTTCACTCTGTGTACTCTCCGTTTTATTTCTCGTTTGGAGTGTTTCTAAATGCAGTTGTGACACTGATTTTTTTTGGTGACCAACTCCATTTTGCTGAGTACAAACTCAGAGATGTTCTCCTCTTGAGCTCAGGATGTATTTCGAGCTATCTGTCTGAATCTTTATTAAGCTACGCTACAAAATTTACCAAAGCAGTCAACTTGCAGCCGATAAGTTATCTGAATCCATGCACTCTTCTAATCATCGATATCGCACTATTCCACTACAACTTTGAACAGCTTTACTTCATCGGATTCATTTTAATATTTGTATCTGTGCTAGTGCCAATTTTAATCGATTGGTTTAAATAAAGAAGATTTCCCAATCACTAAAGTGCAACTTTTCAATCAGTATTCAATAAAATGGGGTTTTGGGGTTTTGGGGTTTTGGGGTTTTGGGGTTTTGGG